TGAAGCAAGAAGAGCTAACTGCACTTTGTCATGCATCATGAACAGGTCTAGGAAGGTGATGCTCCTCCTCTATGTGGCAATGGTCAGGCCACAGCTAGAGTACTGTGTCCAGTTCTGGGTGCTGCAATTCAAAAAGGATGTGGACAACCTTGAGAAGGTCCGGTGGAGGGCCTCTCGTATGGTTAGAGGCCTGCAGGGAAGGCCTTATGAGGAAAGGCTGAGGGACCTGAACCTTTTCAGCCTCTGCAAGAGAAGGCTAAGGAGGGATCTTGTGACAGTATACAAATTCATCGGGGGGGCAGCACAGAATAGGAGATGCTCTGTTTACCAGAGCACCCCTTGGAATAAACAGAAACAACAGCTACAAGCTGATGGAGAGTAACTTTAGGTTGGACATCAGAAAGAACTTCATGGTAGTCACCAGAATCTGGAACGGGCTTCCAAGGGAGGTGGTGCTATCCCCTACTTTGGGGGTCTTCAAGAGGAGACTGGACAAGCACCTGGCTGGGGTCACATGATCCCAGCACTTTTTCCTGCCACTGGCAGGGTGTTAGATTTGATGCTTTGAGGCCCCTTCTGACCCTATCATCTATGAATCTATGAACTAAACTCTGCCTCTTTGGGCTGCAGGACAGTGGTTTGGGTCAGAGTCCACTGACTTCCATGGAAGTCGTATGCACATCCTATATGGCTAAAGTTTTGCCTGTTAGCCTGAGGTGGGCCTTTCTTTTGTCTTGACAACATGAAGGTCTAAGCCATAGATTCAGTTTACAGTCTACAGGAAATCATTCATGGACAAAAATTATGCTAAGATGTGGAACCAAGTAGCAATGGAACCAAATCTACCTGCCCATCCCATGGGAAAAAGCACCTTTGGTCATGAAGGATAGAGACAACCTATGCTGTAAATGCATGCTTCATGCCAATAGGCCTCAGTGATGAAGTGTTGTCATTTGATAACCAGGACATGTTTGTGATTAATTTGTAACAGCCTGCAGTGTCCCATTGGCAGACAAACTAACATTTCAGCATTGGTAAAGCAGTGAAATCAGTTTGTTAGTTCATAATGGAAATACTTTACATCCTGGCACAGAGTAAAGTGTACTGTGAACCTAAAGGGCGAGCAACAGCAATTTCAGGGACATAGGCTGCTGTTATCTAATGTCCCAGCAAAGAGTTGAACTACGAACAAAACCATTGGCTGAAATGCCTGGAAAGTAATAATAATAGTAAACAGCTGTAGGGCTTGACATGCTCATGGTTTCCACAGCTCAGTCCCTGGCTCATAAGCTTTATTGTTATAGGATAAGTATTTGAGATACAGAGGAGCTGCAAAGCATGGTAGAGGGTGGGGAAATAAGTATGTATATAGTGCAGCAAACAATTCAAATAATTTTTGAACAGTATGAGAAAGCAACTGCAGTCACCTAGCAGCTCAAGTGCCAGAGAGGGCCTTAGGAGACAGAATCAACGGGACACAGAGTAAATAGCCTCCAACCCCCCTCCCCACCAAATATCTGCCCTTCATCCAGCAAAAAGAATATGCATGACACCAACCCAGGTTGCAACAGTAAGTGTTGATGTACTATCATAGATCCCGCAGACAGTCTGGCAGCAAAGCTGTTGTTCTTGTCTCAAACCAGCACAAGAAGAAATATTTATATTTCTCATAGGACTCAATCCAAAATCTTTTGACTTCAGGGGGAGCTATTTCATTGACCTCAAAATGCTCAGAGAGCTTGTCCATCATGCATTTCAGTCTGCCAGCATTCTTGCAAGAGCCTGAAGGAGCACTTTGCACCTCTGGTAACTTTAATTTGCATGTTTCTTCCCACTCACTGTGTCCAGCCCTCACTTTCTATTCATTAAATTTGTTTTTCAGTTGTTGACACTTGCTGGTATGTAGCACCTGCACATTAGGGACTCTGCTGCATTGACCAGGTCAGGAGTGTACTAGCATTATCCCTCCAATATGTTTATAGTGTACTGCTTCTAAAGGGTTTGGGTCTATCTTTTATTTTCTCCTCCCTCCAACACTGCATGTGAGACAAGACAATCAGGTCCTTTGTGTATGCAGATCTTTCTTTCTCTCCTTTTACACAGGAATCCACATGGTTTGCCTTTAGAGGATGTTTATCTTTAGTGTGAAACACTCTTATGCAAAACTGATGATGTTACCTTCCCTTTAGATAAACCCTAGCAACAGGCAAAAGGTTACTGCTTGTATAGGCAAGTTCATTGTTCTGGTGTGCATAGCATGATGGAATCATCATCAGATTAGTCCAGTGTCTTTGAAAGGGATTTGGTTTCTACTGCTTCAGTTGTTTCTTGCTTGTCTTTGACATTTTTATGGTTGCACCAGAAAGGTTGACCAAACGGGAGATTATGCAAGTTTCTCACAATTGAGAACTCATTGTCTTTAGACAGACAACAACAAAGGAACAAGGTGTGGAGTTGAAATACAGGTGTGGGAGGTATTTCCCATCAATATAATAAAGCACATCCCACACAGTACTGTTTACTTACAGTAGCAACACATTGATTAATTTTACTACCAGAATGCAAACTAAAATCTAGTGTATAAGGCACAAGGGGTAAAAGAGGCATAAACCCTTGGCTTTTGTATATTATGGTGACTAAATGGAGCTACATGGATTTATACTAGCTGAGAGAGCAAGGTTGTTCAGTGACCCTAAGGATATGTGACCACAGCACAGTGATCCTAAGGACATGTGACACAGCACTTTACAGATACTCAAGCTAGCTCTAAGCACACTAGTTTGGGTAGGCAGAATGGTATAGGCTTCTTAGTTCAGCAGGGTAAATTAGTCCTGGTGGAGCACTGTGCTGACAGCTGTTCTGCTTCTTGTAATCAAGCTCACTTGGATAGCTCTACAAAGTGTCCTAACTCTACTAGTATATGCATACACACAGATTTATGCACAGTACTTGCATGATTTTCTGATGTGCTTGGTGCATATTTAAATCACAACTTGCATGATGTACTAAATGCAAATATTGAAAATCCACAAGACTTTGGAGCAGTGAAGCAAAGTATATGTAATAAAGTAATTCTCTGAAGGGACTTAGTAATGAATAGTGCCGGTCATAATATTTTTGATAGAATAGTTTTCCATTATTTTTATCAAAATTGATATGATTTGTGTAAATGTGTCAGTTTTGACAAGGCAGGCAAGGTTCTTTGGGTAGATTTTGATATCTTTTATTAAAACAACTAAATAGCTGGAAAAAATAGTCTTTGCAAGCTTTCAGGTATAAACACCTTTCATCAGGCTGAGGAAGCACCTGCAGTTGGTGTGTGCTCTTCCTGTGTGGAATGAGTAGTAAAGAAGCCAGAGGCTGGTATGCGTGCAAGAAAATCAGTCAGTGAAAATGTAAATTGAGGAGTCAGTGGGTGAGAGACAGGTGAGGGTGGGGAATGTATGTAGCTGGTAAATAGTGGAGAGGTACCTGGGGAATCAGATGTTAGGCTATAATGTGTCACAGATCCAATGTCTATATTTAGTCCATGGATTTTTGTATCCAGTAGGTTGATGAAGTGAAATTTGTGGGCTTGACTGTGAAAGGTGTTTTGTAAATTCCTTTTGAGGATTGGAACTGAGAGATTGGAGAGAGGGTGGCTTTCTTGTGAGAAGTGTGCCCCAACAGGTAATTGGGTATTCTTGTCTTTCATAGATTTCAGGTGTGTTTTCATTCTGGTGTGCAGTTGTTGTTTGGTCTCTCCTATGTATTTTCCTTCAGGGCATTTGGTGCACTGGATAAGATATATTACATTTCTGGAGGTGCAGCTGTTCCAGGAATCCAGGAATGCTGATGGCTCTGTTGTGGGGTGTAGTAATTGTGGGGGTGGTGGAGATGTGTTGGCAGGTTTTACATTTCTTGTCCTGGCATGGTCTGGATCTGTTCAGTATGTTTTGGGCTGTAGGAAGTTTGCTTCTGGTGATGAGGTTAGCAAGGTTCAGCGCCTGTGTGAAGGCTACAATGGGTGGTTCTGGGAAAATCTCTTTAAGAACTGGGTTTTCTAGTATGGCTTGCAATTGTTTGAGGATTTTCCGTATAGGTTCCAGGGAGGAGTGATATGTCATAACCAGTGGTGTGCAACCAGTGGGGGATTTCCTTGTGGTGTGTAACCAGTGGGGGATTTATTTCTGTACTGCAGCAATTATTCATGTGCTATCTGGATAGCTGTTTCAAAAGCGCGATCTGTATCTGTTGGTGTTATGTGTTCTTCAAGGTAGAAAAGGAGCTAATTTACAACATGCAGGCCTGTGAAAATGCAAATAAATGGTAGTTTGAAAGACAATAGGTAGAGATAGGAGGGGAGGGGAGGGGAGGGAAAGGGAGCAAAATATGTGAAGGAATGCAAGTGGTCAGCTACAGGATTGTTACCTGGGGTTATCAGGTGGCAGGCTGGTTGTAATGTGTCATAAATCCAATTTTTTAGCCTATATTTAGTCCGTGAATTTTTGACAACATTTTAAATGGGAAAATAATTTGTTTGGACTTTTTCTGGTAAGGAAATTCTGTTTTATTTTGACTTTCTTATTTGGTTTGACATGCTACGTTATGTTATATTTAATATTTATACTTAATGTATTACAATGTTGCCAAGTGAAATTCTGTTTTGGGGTTTAAGGTTTCCAAATCAAATTTTTCTTGGAATTTCTGTTCTGCAGGAATTTTTTAAAGTTTGACTTTTTGTTCTGATTCAGAACAATAATACATTTTGGAATGTCAGAATTTCCCACGGGGCAGGAATCCTGTTTTCAAATCAACCCGACTAATGAGCAATGAAAAACCTCTTCTGATTGCCCATAGAGGACTTGGCTCCTGATCGCTTCTGGAATTTATTCAAAGAGCAAAGATCAGGAGGATATTAGGAAGCAGTCTCATTATGGTTCATTCCCAAAAGGCAAGAGAAGAGGCCAGTAAAGAACTTGACTGTTTGTCTCACCCACCAGCTGTCATTTCTATTCCAGATGCACCTCATCTCTTGCCAATGTTCCTTGTTAAGAAAAAAAAAAGTTAGCTTAAGAACATAAGATGGAAGCAAGTCAAAAGTGCAGAATCCAGATATGATGTGAAATGAGACGCAAATATGTGCCTCTCCCCTGGAGATCAGTGTAAGTCATCACAACTCACCTTTGGACTGGTAGCGCCTCTTTAAGCTGGAACTAAGGTTAAGTATGATTTTCAGCAGTAAGTTTGTCCAACCTGTTAGGTAGAAGGCATTTATTACTGCAATGCTTGAGCACCTCATAGTCTCTGATTAATTTATTCTCATTATACTGCTATTACTGAGGCGCAGACGGATCAAAACCTTCATCTGTAGCTCTGTGATATCAGTAAGAATCTTTCCTTTTATTTCAGTGGTCATTGAATCATATCCCAAAGTGACATGCCCAGTAGAGCTGATGATCTGGCCTATATTCAATCTAAAAGTATTTCCAATCATTTTATGATACACCATGTTTTAAATGTACATATTAAGAAAAAAGTCATGTTGCATCTACTTTAGACATTGCTATAAAATGAGATGTTAACATGCAACATTATTTTACAATGAGCTATGGTACTCAATAAAAATGCTGGAAAGTTTTGATGAACTTTATCACAATAGTCTAGGAAGATTTTTTTGTGCATTTAACCAATCTGTATTGAGGTATCCCTTGGTAAAATAATTTTAAAAAGCACTTGCATTTTGAATTTTTTTGGCAGTACTTGACTGACTTTCAATGCAGTGGATTTGCTATGGTAGTTTCATAACAGTAAATAGTCCATGGAGACATGAATATGAATGCAAGAAGATATTTTTTTGCCAAGGGTGGAAACTAAAATTGCTTACTTTACAAAATGTTACGCTTTTGATGCTATTTACACTAACAGAAGGCCAAATTGCAGTCTCTTAACCTAGGCTGTAACAATTAAACTTTTTGCCTGTATTACTGAATTGTACAGTGTCTCGGAACTATTGCCAAGAAATGACCATAATGCAAATACTATTAAGTAGTGGATAGGAGAGCTGTCTACAAGTAATGGAAGGGTGTAAATACCACAGAGGGAGAGGAAGTAATTACTGTGATACAAAAGGGTATAACTAAGAACGAATGGGATGAAATTGAGCAAAAGGACATATTTAGGCTGTACATCAGGAAAAAGTTCTTAATGGTGAGAATTATTAGAGTAGACTGTGGTATATTCTTCCCAGGAAAGTGGTAAGAGACCTATGTATTAAGTTATTTAAAATCAAGCTAAAGAAAGTACTCAGGAGTACACTGTAGGGAACTAGTTTTGCTGTTGGCAAGGTGCGGGGAGGGCAGAATTGGTATATTTGATGATCTAATCACTAAATCTCTTCCTTCTTTAATTTCTATGGTTTGTATAATATTACTGGCATGCCACAGATTAAGTACTTAGCTTTGGATAGTAAAATTAATTTATGAGGTAGAAATAATTCTTTATTTGTTCCAGTATATACATATCATGTTTACATCACATTTACTTTTACTGTCTTTCATTTGTGCTTACTTATAAGAAAAGGATGACGTCCTCCACTGCATTGCAATATTAAGGGATGTACATTTAGCAGCATGGAGTAACATTTTGAAAGGAGAATGTTAGATACTTCTGCTTTCTGTTGAAAATGGTAGGACCTTTCTAATTCAGTGACTTCTGTATTATAAAGACATGCATGTCAAAATATTATTATATATGAGTAAGAGTAGGCCAGAACAGTGACTAAGCAATATTGTACATGAGTTAAATTCTGTATCTAATTGTTTTCAAGTTTCCTCTCATTTCTATTGCTCAATTCCTCTCCCTCATATTTTAGATGCCTAGAAACTGTAGAGACCTGTTTCTGACTCTGACTCATGTGCAATGAGATAAGAAGCCCTTTGTGATTGTATCCTGACAAATGAAATAAGCATCTGGGAAGCTTGTAAAAGAAAGTATTTCAAAGAAAAAAAATTATGAAGTAAAAAACTTTAGCAATGTCTGCTTTAGAAATGAAATATGCAGGGTAGTCATCTTCATTTTCAGGGTTTGGGACACTGAGAATACTGTTTTCACTCCCCAGTCATGATGATATGCCCTGCAGTAAATACTTGAAAAATAAGCTATGGACCGCCTTCCCCCCAATTTGAGTCACCACAAGGCTCAGAGGGCATGTGTTGTTCAGAGACACCTGTACCATGGGAGGTTTGCAAAGGCATTTATCTCTTGGAGATGACAGTATGAAGCACTGTTGGCTTCCCCCAAGTACTGTCATTCAAATATTTTACTGCCTTAGGCCTGTGCTGATTGAGAAAACCAGGCACTGAACTATCTTACTATTTTTTTCTCTTCTTTTCATACATAGAACTGGTATAGTAAGAGACATGAAGCATATCAACGCAGCTGTGGGTCTTCAAGGAGATGCTCACTGACCCTTTCTTTTCCCAGCAGAAGGAAGAACAGCTGTTATAGTGCAGTACTGAGAAAGTGCTGTTAAAATAATTCATTGTAAAAATTATTAATCCCAAAGGTTGTCAAGGAATAATTACTATGCTCTTCTACTGTTACAACAGGTCTAAATTGGTCATATACATTATTAATAATTCTTTCCTTGGTGTTTGGAGAATACTATTTTATTCAACAACATCTGCCTCACTGTCTTTAGAAAAGTAAAAGAAAGAGACGTCCGTTGTATTCAGTAGGCGAAGGAGGGTCTTAGCATTTGGCTACTGGAGTAAGTTCTTTTCTCTGGTCAGCCTTCTCTTGTGTTCTTCAGAGCACCACTGAGGGAGAATCCATGGCATATGCCCAACGAGCCTTGAGAGGGATGGTCCTGAACACACTCTACCAACAAAATCCCACTTGCATTCATCAAGCCTGGAAATGGAATAGTGAAGCCATGCTGTGGGTGTCACTATGGCCAATACTAAGCATGCTGAAGCCAAAGGTCTTGACAACAATGCTGGGGAAATGTCTTGGATGTAGTTTCACTGACTTATTTTTGGGTTTAGCATGTGGGAGTGGGTGAGTAGTATGTGCTAGCCCAGAGCACGCTGAGGATGTGGTGTAGACATAGCCTGCATTTCTCTTGCCTGAGCCCCTCCTGTAAGGTGGGAATAAGAGTGCTTCTTCTCCCCCATCCTGTGTCTGATGTGTCTGTTTACAGTGCAAGGTCTCCAAAAGAGAGATTATCCCTTACTATGTATATGTAGAGTCCCTTGCATTGCAAACCTGTCTTCACTGAATGCTTCAGACATTTTCATAAAAAAATTATAAGTAAAATGTTCAGTCCTCTGATCTGAAAATTCCCATTGCGTCAACTATGAATCTAGTTCAAATTTAAAAAAAAAAAATTAAAATGACAACAGTCATTTCTAGACCTACTGTTGGTGGAAAATATAACTGAAAAGTGCAAGTTATCATTTGGGAAAACAACATGAAAGGGTTGATCCTGTGACTACTCTTGCTCCTAAATCCTCTCCCTGTTAATGAGAGTTTATGGAAGCCCTTAGTTTTTTCCATCCTCCACAAATAGGTGGTGAACATTGGAGAACAGATTAATTTCCAGAAAGGGTTTAATTAAAAAAAATAGTTACAACCCTTCCCCACCCCCAAAAATCTAATCTTTATTGACACCCATGTTAGAGATTAATGAATTCTGTGTAGATTTGGAACAATGAGATTAATGAGTCCTAGAGGACACTAACAAATAAGATCTTATTTCTTTCTACCACAGCTAACTACTCTCTCTCACAGAGTGTTTCTTCTTTCTTAGTTTGTAAAAGACAAGGCCCCCTTTCCTGTTCACATTCAATTCGATAGTAAAGCTCTGATTGACTTCAGGACCTAATAGAGTGAAAAGCTGAGTTTTCTTTAGCACTTTTTAGAGAAATACATTTGAATGATACATGCTATTAGCGTGATATTTCAGACTGGACAATGATTTATATATTTCATGGGAGGACAAGATTCCTGAGGCAATGACTCATTGTTTTAGTCTGGAATAATTCCAGTGGGAATCTTTTTCTGTACTGGTTGATACATACCTTACATGGTCTTAGTTTGGGACATATTTTTTTAATGCCATTCATTTTGTCTGCTAATATGTGTGTTTTGCCTATTAAAATTAAACTGTCTCTTTCCCTTCCGACTTGAACCCAGTTCATATTTACCCACACCTTATATGGCGAAGCACTGTTTGTGCACACAGGGGAAAAAGGGGTGGATTCATTGCAAATGGGAACTTCTTTTATCAAGAGGAAAAATGTACATTAGGCACATTTTTTCGCATATTAGTTTTGACCCAATGACAGAAAATGCCCAAATGACTGCCTACATTTGTAATTCTGATGCAGCAATATAGATCTCTGGGATAAACTGGATCCTGGGGTATGAGAACACAAGGACAAGCCAATGGGAGTAGCTCATGCATAGTTGAAGACATAGTTTGATCTCATTTCTCCTAATATGGAGCAAATTCCTTTCCTTCATCCACACTGTTGGCTTTTATTGCACTTTCTACATCCATTTTAACTGTGGAATTTCCGCTGTTATTAATCTATGCCTCTAGGAGAGATCTGCAGAATGGAGGAGAGAAAAGTAAAATTGTAAGTATAAATAGTTTTGCTAAAGGATGCAGCTCTCCTTGTGCTTGAGGAGTTAAGCCTATCTCCAGTCATCTAGGGTTGGAGTGAGACTTTCATAGGAGGCAGATGATTCCATATCTGTAGGGTATCTTGTACTTTCCTCTGAAGTAGCTGGTACTGGCCAAAGAGGAAGACAGGATACTGGATGGCTGGATGACTGGGATGATCCAGACTGGTACTCTTTATGGCTGTGAAGAGACATCATGTTTGTCCAGAGAGAAAGCCTTTTGTCCTGGGATTGTACAGCTGTCACCATCCACTGTCCTGTTTCAAGTCCCTCTGCCAAATGAAATACGGTAACACTTTCTCCCCAGACATCCAATTGTAGGCCTGTGCAGTTACTGAGGATCGTTTTTCTAGACACAAGTCGATCAACCTGTGTGCTCTTGCTGGCCACCTACTGGTACTGGAGCAGCAATGCAACTTGTAAGGGTGACATGGGTAAATGATCATGCTGCTCCTGTTTTGATCTGGCTAAAGCTCCAGAACAGTCAGTCTTGAGTGAAATGAGACATCTGTTTGTATTCCATGTCTCTTTGTATGGTGATTTTCTTCATGGAGTAGGAGAACTGATGCTGCAGCCCTTTCCCTAATCATAGTTCTGTTCCTTGTCTTCTACAGGTTCATTTAATTTATGGAAATGATCTTGGATAAAATCTGATAAATAGAACTGAATTCTGATGACCTCCATTTCCTAAATTTGTAGGCCTTACACTAAGTTCAGTCAGTTCACAGGTTGCAAATAAGCAAACTACTGAAGCAGGTTCTTACATAAAACAGGGCTTGAGACCCAGTAATATCAGCAGTACTCATGCACAAACAAAGTAAAACACCAGTGCTTTCCTGAATAGTGTTGTATTCAAGCATGTATTTGTGCATCTTTCTGAACTGAAATCTAAGTGGTTTGCTATATAAGGATGGACTGAAGAATTGTGTTTGAAACAAAATACATTTGAAGTGTTGTTGTTTTTTTGGGGGGGGTTCTCATTTTATTTGGGGATGGCATGGGTAAAATTTCATAAAAAACAGTTTCTGTGAGTGAAATAAGACAGAACACTTGGATTTTGAATTTATGTCTTTCCCTATCACCCATGTCAAGAATTTGGATCAGTTGGAAGATAGAAAATAACTACAGACTCACAGAAAATAGAGCTGGAAGGGATCCCAGAAGGCCATCTAGTCTAACCCCCTGCTCAAGACAGAATCAATCTTGTCTAAATCCATGGTTCCTATACATGCATTTCCCAAAATACAGTATACCTGATTCAATGCATCAAGTGTTCTCACAGCAACTATGTGGGCAAAACTAAATAGCAACTGAGCACCAGAATTAACTCTCAGGAAAAAAAAAGGGACAGAGGCATACAAATACCATTAGGAGCATGGTTTTTAAACAACTATTCCCTCTCTGACCTCATTATCCTGATGCTCAAGGGAAATCTACCTAACACCTTTAAAAAGCAAATTTGGGAATAAAAATTCATAGGCTGGATAAACACAGAGACTAAACATTAATATCAGCTTCATGGCATGTTATATTTTATTCAACTTCTGAATTCTTTCCACACAGAAAAAGTGAGAATAAACCTCCACCCATTTGTTAGGTCTTGATATCATCCCAGTAATCAACTTCTTTTCTTCTGCTAATTGTGAGTCTGCTACCCCAGAGAATTCTCTTATCCCTTCTCCCCTGGTGTTTTTCACTATGCTGTTCCTCGTTCCCATGATCAGAGACCAGATGAAGAATGTTTTGCATTCAAAAGCTTGTCTAACTTTATCCCAATTACATAGTTGGTCCAAAAAAAGATATCACCCTAAGAAATCCTTGCCTCTGTCTAAATCATCCCATCCAAGTGACTGTGTAATTTGCTGTAAGAAATTTTGAAGGATGGAAATCTCACAAACTCTCTGGGTAGTCTGTTCCAATGTTTAAACACCCTCTAAGTTAGAAAGTTCTTCCAACCTAAATTTCCCTTACTTCAATTTGAGACCACTGTTCCTAGTACTGTCCTTTAAGGCCACAAGGAATTGTCTATCTCCTCTTCATAAGCATTCGTCAGGTATCTGAAGATTGTTATCAAATCCCCTTAGTCTTTCTTTCTCCAGACTAAATAGATTTCATAGACATTAGGGCTGGAAGGGACCTCGGAAGATCGTTGAGTCCAGCCTCCCGCCTGAAGGGCAGGAAGTCAGTTGGGGTCATAGGATCCCAGCAAGATAAGCATCCAGTTTACTCTTGAAAGTGTTCAATATAGGTGCTTGAACCACCTCCGAAGGCAGGCTGTTCCAGAACTTGGGGGCTCGTACAGTAAAGAAATTCTTCCTTATGTCCAGCCTGAAATGATCTTACAATAGTTTATAACCATTTAACCTCATCATCCCTTGGGGCACTCTGGTGAACAAACATTCCTCCAGATCCTGGTGGTCACCTCTGATAAACTTATAGGTGGCCATCAGATCACCCCTGAGCCTGCGCTTTTCCAGGCTAAAGAGCCCCATGGCTCTCAGCCTGTCGTCATAAGGTCTGTTTTCCTGACCTCTGATCATGTGCGTGGCTCTTCTCTGGACTCTCTCAAGCTTCTCCACGTCCTTTTTGAATTGTGGAGCCTAAAACTGGACGCAGTTCAGTGAGCTGCGGCCTCACTACGGCCGAGTACAAGGGGAGAACGACGTCCTGGGATTTGTTTGAGAAGCATCTCCGGATGCAAGCCAGTGTTTTGGTCGCAGCATCACATTGACCGCAGCATCACATTGCAGCCTCATGTTTATCTTGTGGTCAATGATGACCGCCAAGTCTCTTTCTTCCGTAGCGCTAGCCAGCGTAGCACTGCCAAGCCTATAAGGATGCTGTAGGTTTTTCCT